GTCCAATCAGTAGCTATGATGTGCACTGATCACCAGGGCGCAGACGCTCAATGTAGGAGCTGCCGAGCTGCGGTGACTTGGCAGCTGCGGTTCTCAGGTCACACCTGGAACCAGAGAGGAAGAAGCTTGATTCTGGGGTGTGTCACCCAAGAACAGCCCTCTCGCAATCCAGGACCCCTCGGGGGATATCGGAGAGCCAGTTTTGGCCTGATCCCTGCAAGCCAGGCCCAGGGACCCAACCGGTGCACAAATCCGTGCACTAGGCCTCTAGTAACATAATAATAAAATATTAAACGTCAGTTCATTTCTGTTGAATTGGAAGATGTTCCCCTTTCACATTGCACACAAGGCAATTTTTTAAATCTTTATTGTTGAAGGTGTTACGTATGTTCCCTTTTTACCCCCCATTTGCCCCTTCTAGCCTGCCTCCAGCCTTCACCTCCATAAGGGTATTTTTAAAGGCTGCTGTGTTCTCTTGCAGGTGAAAATTTTTATTGATGATAACAGACATGCACATGGATCACTTTATTTAGGATTTGAAGTTTCAGAAATATAGTAAAATGTCTTACAAATCCTGGTACCTATTGGTGATTATTGTTTCAAATATTGTAATAGATATTTGTATATGATGAATGGAGCCATATGTGAAGCATGATCCCAAAGTAAATGTGATTGACATAATAACATGCAGACATGTCATAAATTTAAGTGAATGTTGACACCTTCAAAGTAGTCATCTTTCTTGTTGATACACATGTCTTCTATTGCTTAGAAGTTATTTTAGATTCTAGGAATTGGCTCTCTGGAGACTATATGCATTTTTGTTTTGTTTTGAATGACCTCACTTATGACCAAACTTTATTCTGTGAAGGAAAATTGAGTTTCTGAAACTACCAAAAGTAATTTGAAGCCAAATGTTGTGAGCTAGGTAGTTATTCAATCTGGATAGTTAAATTTGTGGTTATTCAGGTTAGGTGTCTTTTTCTAGAGCTCTCCTCTCTCTGTGAACATAATGTCTGTCAAAGCATTACCACACTCATTTGCAATTATCTGTTTACTTACCCCCACCTTAACCCCACCCCCATCAGACTAAGATCACCTTAAGACAAGAAAAAGTATCAGATTCATCTTTTTACTTTTGAGTCGACTGCTGAATTTGTCACAGAGTAGGTGTGCTTAAAGAATGACTGAATTTTGGAAGAATCTGTAAATCAGTAAGATCTTTTGTAACTGAAGGCACTTTCAAAAGTGCAGTTATCCAAGAAACTCTGAGAATTTCAAGCATTTCAAGTATTAATGTTGACATAAATATGTATTTTCTTTTTTATTTTAAATTATTTTTACCGACTGCTGAATTTGTCACAGAGTAGGTGTGCTTAAAGAATGACTGAATTTTGGAAGAATCTGTAAATCAGTAAGATCTTTTGTAACTGAAGGCACTTTCAAAAGTGCAGTTATCCAAGAAACTCTGAGAATTTCAAGCATTTCAAGTATTAATGTTGACATAAATATGTATTTTCTTTTTTATTTTAAATTATTTTTACTTTTTTCTTTATTCATTAAGGTATTACATATGTGTCTTTATTCCCTATTGCCCCTCCACCCCAACCCCTCACCCAGGCACATGCCCTCACGCCCCTAGTGTCTGTGTCTATTGGTTAGGCTTATATGCATGCATACAAGTCCTTTTTTTCAGGGGGGCTATTATGAGAGGATCTCTCTGATTTGGTTATTTAAATTCTCATTTCTTTGTTAAAAGTGAGGCTGAGAATAGTTTGCACAAAATGTACAAAATAAAATTCTTACTTTAAAATAGATTTAGGCCATCCTTAATTTGTAATGTCTGCCAGGTAATTTACTTAGTGGTTTCCTCCTAAATGAAGTTATAACTGCTTTAAAAAAATTTTTTTTTAATCTAGGGACACATTCTTACAGATTTTACTCTATAAACAGTACCTCTCAATTGGCAATTAGTTAGCTTGTAATAGTGGAAAGGTTATTGCATTGTAGTGTGGGGAATCTGAGTTCTAATCCCCCTGGCATTAACAAGTTTCATGATCATCTAGCCCTGATTAGCCTGATGTATATATCTTTTCATTTGTATTTTTATAATGAAGAACTGCAGAAACTCAAAATTTTTCTAGTGAAAATATAAACTGTCTTGGAACCTTGAAATATGCATAAAACCCCTGTGTTCCATTGAATGAGGTATATATTTCTATTGCAGTATTTTATCCTTTTATTAGAGGCCCAGTGCAGGAAATTCATGCACTGGGGGAGGGTCCTTCAGCCTGGCCTGCTTATCCCCCAAGTCTGGGAGCCCTTGGGGGCTGTCCAGCTGATGGCTTAGTCCCTGGGGAGCAGGGACTAAGCCATCAGCTAGACATCCTTAGTAGCCACAGAGGCCCACCACCGCCGCTGCGCTCACCAGCCGTGAACCTGGCTCAGAGCTTCTGGCTGAGCAGTCCTCCCCATGTGGGAGCACAGTGATCACCAGGGGGCAGCTCCTGTGATAAGCGTCTGCCCCCTGGTGGTCAGTGGGTATCACAGTGACCACTTGTTCTGCTGTTTGGTCAATTTGCATATTAGCCTTTTATTATATAGGACTAGAGGCCCGGTGCACAAAAATTTGTGCACTCGGGGGGAGGAGGGGGGTCCCTAAACACGGCCTGTGCCCTCTCGCAGTCTGGGACCCCTCGGGAGATAACGACCTGCTGGCTCAGGCCTGCTCCTGGTGGCAGAGGGGCAGGCCCAATCCCTAGGTCCAGCACCCGGTCGGGCTTAGAGCAGGGCCGATTGGGGAGTTGGGGTGCCACCCCCTGTCATGCACAAAGCAGGGCGGATCGGGAGGTTGAGATGCCACCCTCAGTCACGCTCAGGGTAGGGCCGATTGGGGGGTTGGGGCACCGCCCCCTGTCACACTCAAGGCAGGGTCGATGGT